AAGCAAGATTAATTGTAGGTATTATAGGATTAGGCACAATACGCTACTTGGAATAGAACAGCGGTTTACCATAAAGAAGTATTATTAATTAAGTTTGTTTATAAAAAAGTTAAATAGTAAGATAAAAGAGGACTAAGCTAACGAGAAGAGACTCGAGTATTTAATTCAATTTGTCAAAGTTTTTACTACAAAGTTTTACTGGCCTGCTTTTTACAAAGTTCATTCTAGAAAAAATGGTTATATATTTATAAACGATAATATAACGGGATATATTTGTAAAAAGTTGTTTGTAATCTATGTCTAGTGCAGTAGTGCGTCATCTCAGCTCTGTTTTTGCGAGTCGAGCTAAATATAGTGTATGTGATTAGTAAATCATAGATAAAAAAACAAAAAAGTGGAACAAAAATAATTGAATATTCAGTTTTAATGTCGTGTCTAATAATATCGTTGACGTAGAATTTAATGATAGACGAGACATGGAAATTTTGTACATTTTAATTAGCTGCTGTACCTATGAAAACCTAGTATTTTTAGTAGTAACATGAATCACGGCCTATTGTTTATTGATATTATTATGAAACAAACATTAAAAGGGATGAGTTTTGTTTATATTTCGAGTTCAATCTAATTTTTTGTCTCCGTATTTTGTTAAAGCATCTTTTTTCAGATTACACGTATTGATTCTTTATTGTTCTCCACTTTATAAGAACACCATTGTCCTATCTTGGTCTTGTAGTAAAAACGTAATGTATTTTCCAACAATTTTATTAATCATATATTAAATACGAGTCATAGATCAAATCTAAAAATAAAACTGATAATTAATTTTGAAAAACAATCGTTGTTTTTGTCCGACCCAGTTGTTGTATTTTTCCACCAAAACAAGCCGGCTTTAATATATACTTTATATACACTACGCGCATAATAGCACTGGCTATTAATAGGACACATTCATTTTTTTTTGTATTGTATTATGTAGTCTATACAAAAGACATTTATGTACGCGTTCATAGTTTATTGCACTTCAACATGACCTGAACAAGTTGAGACCTAGTGGAAATTTTTAAGTTCTGCTTAATAATTTATTGTTGAGAACTTTAGCATCCATTTTAACAGACGTCGGTTATAGGTATCTGGACGTTTTTCTTTGCTAAATAGAGGTATAATAATAATGAGATAGCTATAGCATATTCTCGTCTAAAAAATCAGGTCCAATTATATACACGACGTTTTTGGGAGAATCCATCTGCCATCATGGTAAATTATTGTTAAGTATAAGGCTACCACTTAGATACTCCTAATTAATGCTGATTTATATATCAACAGTTCATTGCCCCCTTTTCTGACATTTAATAAAATACAATCGAGGTCAATCATATTTTAACCGGTATTTTTGTGTAGAATAAAAAAGTGACTTGCTTGACAGAAGTCGTAGCACATATGTCTTTGGAACAAAACGGTATAATACACGAACTAGAGATACAAAGGTGAATTGAGAACTAGTTTGAAAGTGAATTTGAAGTAGAAATAACGTGATATTTTGTTTATAAAGTAACCCAATAATTAATATTTATGATAAATATTATACATTAATGAAGTTTGTGAATGGTGATCTTACGAATCGCCTTTGGCATTTCTTACAAACTCTATCCACTGAATGTCAACACATAAATATATTTATCAAGATAATTAAAACAGAATTAATATTTTATAACACTGGTTTATTGACGTAGGCCTATTAAAATCGCAAAAAATATTTAGAATATACAGGATATTTTTAATGCTGAATATTGAATAATTTAAAACTGGATTGGGCCGAACAATAAAATAAAATCCATTTAAAATTTTCCATATTGATATTATTATTGTCAAATTGTCCTTGCGTCATTTGCTGGAACAGGGTGTTCGAATGACAATTTATACAGACTAGTCATCTACCTCGCCTAGTGTTGGAATTTGATATGTATCATACAACTACCAGATTGAGCTTTAAATTCTTTGATATTTTAAGTGAATTGCAACATTAATATCAACGAATTATTGCAAAATTGCTTTAGGAAAATCCAAAGGAACTAATGCATACGATCAATCATACGTCAGTTATTACGAACATGATTGCTGTGGAATAATAGAGCTTATTTAGGTTAAATGAAATGTTATATTTAGTTTGTACATATGGATAAAGGAACTTGTCTTATGTGCTGTCATGAAACAACGCGACAATATATGTAGGACGTAGGTACGCAAATAATTATATCCCTTTTACTATTTAAGAGGCGATTGAGTGATCAAGAACATAATTAGGTCATGCATGACTTAATAAATAAATGTTTTACCTCTTTCATATTGAGATTGGTACATTTTATACGTATTTTGAAATTTTACATTCGATTGGATTACATAAACGAATCACCAAATAACAGGATATGTGTTCAGACTTAAAGTATCAAAATTCATAAGTTTTCCTTTCCTTATATGACTATATTGTCTGCAAAAAATGGTTTTCTCAAAATATAACGGTATTCTATTAAAAAGATACCTAATCGCAGGTCGATGATGAGAATCAAAGTATGATATATTATAAGTATAGTTCCATATCCTTACAAACATGTATAAGGAAAAAGAATTCTTCGTTGTCTACACCTGTAACCATCTTTTTGCAGATTGACTCTCTTACGTCAGTTCGAGTTAATTATTGCTTGTCTTTACAATTCAATTACAAGGTTCAGTAAAATTATAAACCTTGTTGTCTTTCCGATATATTGTCTGCACTGATTTACCAACCGGTCCAATAAGTGGGTCATAGTCCAATGGTTAAGGTGGTTTCATTATTTATATCCTAAAAATGTCGCATATTACGAGTATGATCAAGGCGACTACGCGCGCATAAATGCTTACGGTGTTTTTAAGTGAATCCACGTACAAGCAATTAGCCTTGGATTCGAAGTGTGGACGGTATTTCAGATGTTTATAAATCGACAAACAATCAACATGAAGTGTTTGATTCCTGGTTTTTGTTATTTAAATACACATAACATAGTACAAAAGTCCTCCAACAGTAATATTGCTATGTACAAGTTCGCCACATGTCGTCAAATAAGTTTTTAACTAGGTTATTCTAATAGAAAAATGGAGTTAGCTGCGATAAATATTGGGACACCTTGCCTGCTTGCCGTCAATTTGTATAAACGCGAGACCATGCTTGTTTTTATTTAATCGTGAAGGCTACGCACTAACTAAAACTTAAGGCTTCTCACCATTATAAATAAATACTAATATCCACAAGTTAATTCTTTTCAACATCAAATTACATTTGCAGCTAATAAAAAAATATTCCATTATCATACGATGGTTAATCATACTTTCAATTTTTCGAATATTTAAAGTTGTATATGAAATGTAAGCGCATTTAATTTAATTTCACGTTTAAACTAATCAATTTTGTATGTAACCGCGTGAAGCGTATTGATTGTATTGAGAAATTTACAATAACAATTTTGCCTTGAAACTCACGTTTTTTGAATTAATGACCGATAATACTCAAATTTAGGTAAAAGGTCATCACATATTATAATGTGAATAGGTAACATTTAATATCGGCACAATATATTAAAATAGTAGTCATGTAGGTAGGTACCTATTTTGGTTTCATAACAGGTACGAAAATATACGCTGAGGTTTTGTACATTTGCACACAAATTAATTACCTGATAAAGGTAGGAAGGTTCCCACAACGAATAGTGCAATTATTAAATACAGATTCCTTGTATTTTGCTTTCTATGACAAAAATATTGATAGTAATAAGCTAGTCATACTTATTTTAAAATGACTGGTTTGAATTGACTCCTTCCATTTCAATTGGCATTCAAAGACATCAAGGTGCTCTCCTAACCTAATTTTTACAATTGTGTGATTTTTAAGATAATTTAATATTCGACCTTGCTAACTGCGTGTGTAAGTTGTTAACATATAGTATCATAATTAAGTAAATAAATGCTACATAATTTCACAACAAAGGCTACGTCAACTTTTCTCTGCCGTTGAAGGATACTGCCCACTAGGGTGGGGCACAGTCGACTGACAACATTAATTTAAGATATTGCAAAATGGACATAGTATGCGTAGTAATATTTTGGGTGGGAGCGCTCAGAAATGAATCAGATGAACTTCTTTCACGTGTACAGAATAATATTTTATTAACCTATCATTCCAATATAAAATAACTTTCAAAATTTGTAAGCCTTGATATTTTGATTCGCTGAGGTTTTTGAAAAAGACCGCGACTGTATTACTTTCAAAAGTTTCATACACAAATCGGAATTAATTGAAATAAGGACTTGATTTTTGAACTGCGGAAGTAACAAAGCGTCGATATGACGCCTACATGCACTCACGTATAAATTATTCAAGTTTCCGCAGATAACAAATCTGAACTGTCAAATATAATAGAAGCCTGTCGCGCCTATGCTGATAATTGTTTATGTAATCAACTACTCGTTAGCAGTTGAGGGTCATGACTCGTTATGGACAAGTGCTGGACGACTGAGTTAACTAGATAACTGTCAGTCGTGTCGTCGGCGGCACATATTTCGGGTGCAAATTACGTTCGCTGTTAAGACAAGCGAAAGCTTCAGTCGCATTGATTCCTCAGATTCTATCGGTTCGCTAACTTTAAATAAATATTAATGGGTACTTTTACATTAAGCTGCATTAAGGCTCACCTCTATTAAGATATTACCATTAATTTGAGCACGACATGCTCCGCTGAGACGATTGGCGAATCGGTTCGGCACCTGGTCCACCCTGACATTCGGTAAACTTGACGCTCGGCAGTGAGCGGCCAAACTTACTATTATGTCCAAAAACGCTCATTCTGCAATCGCGATACGGTGTGAACGCACCTTTAAAATTAATGTAATCCAAACAAAAAAAAATGTGATCGTGTTTAGTTAGAGTTCGTAAAGCAAGTTTTGTAAATAAGTTGTTGTGATTGTTGCAGTGAAAATGGAGGCGCTGAGTAGGCTAGTCGAGGGCTACCATGACTTGATGGACAACAAGAGTGACCAGAGGGTGAAAGACTGGTTTCTGATGTCGTCGCCCTTCCCCACGCTGGCGATATGTCTCACCTATGTGTTCACAGTCAAAGTAAGTACGATAATATACTGCGACTGCGGTAATATGTTAGTATAATGATTTTGCGTCACTTGGATCGATTAACAATTGATATCGCGTCACGGAAGACAAATTAAACATCATTAAGAATGTTTCCACTGGAACTTGCCGCCATTATTAGTACTGGTTGCGTAACGTATTACCTTCCAATTAAACAACATGACATTTGAACGTAACGATCATTCACTTGTTTTGATATTTTTTGTTTTGTTTTTTTAACAATAGCTGTAACATGGATAATATCCTTTTTGCCAGGTGCTGGGACCGAAGTTTATGGAAAATAGAAAACCGTTCGAGTTGAAAAATATATTGATATACTACAACTTGTTCCAAGTAATATTCAGTATATGGTTGTTCTACGAGGTAAATGTTGTTATTATTTCATTAAATACATACTTGAGTACATAGGGTTTCTATAAACTGATGAGTGGATGTTTGTTTTAGAGTTTGAAGAGCGGTTGGTTCACCACGTACAGTTTTCGGTGTCAACCTGTTGACTACTCGAGGTCTCCAGAAGCGATGCGGGTAAGAAAACCTTCGATAATTACTTTCCTAAACCTGTTTGCAATGTTTACGTTCAAAGACAAAATTTTTCATTGAAAAATATTGTGTGAATGGCAATTTTATGTTTCAACTTACGGAGTACAAGTTTAATTTCAATTACAACCGGAAAGGTTTAAGGACATAATAAAATAATTAAGTGTAATTCAACTAGTTAGTGCATCTAGATTTATCTAACCATAGAGCCTCATCCGCTAGTCCTTATTACTTGTATGTGGAACTTAAATGTTCCTTTATGCGAGGAAGTAACCGATAATGGCTGTGAAAAATGTATACTAGGTAATTACATGTTCATTTTATGCAATTTAATTGCAATTACACCGTATGAATCACTAATCCTTTGTTGTTATCAATCGATTTGAATAGTCATGTGATTGTATTACACCTTACTATGTTTATAGAAGCTATTGAGTTGTTTTAGCTATTGGCATTACGGTTTATATCTTACATATAAAATAAATAATGGAATAATTTATTTCAACCTAATTGCAGTAATAAATGTCTCATCTAGAAAAACATTTCCATTCATTGCCTGAGTAATATCAGCAAAATACTTAATATACCTACACAAACAAACAAAAAGTATTGTTTCGTAGTTTTCTGTATTAGTCTATGAGGATAATGTAAAGATAAAGACTTTTTATGGTTCACTGAATAGTTTTGTTCGTACCATTGCATACTTGCATCAATTAAGGCGAGTTGTCCATAGATCTTACATGTGTTGTGAACCGAGGTTGTTTGCCTTCAAGTTCATTCGCATTGGCATGTAATTACCGTACGCGGTGCCTATGTACCGCCGGCTTTTTATCTACTATTACAATTATATGTATTAACACGAAATAAGAGCTTACGGATATATCATTACTTTGTTGTGATGTTTGTCGTAGAAAAAAAAACTGTTATTTTATGACCTGCAGTCTAGAGTCCTTTTTTAACTTAATCTGAGCAATTCACTTTATTATGCTGAGATATCTTTTACTTTTATTAATGCTATTTTTTGCTCGATCATTCAACATAAACTTATAACTATCTATAGGTATACCTGGGTGTCCAATTAAAAGTAGATGTATCATTCACTGTCCATCCTTTCGGGAAAAACAGACATTATGACGCAGTGCACTTATATTCATCATATATTAGATATAATTAAAGTAGATATAACTATAAATTTCCAATAATAAAATTATGGTTTCTATGCTTACTGCTTAGCATGATATTACATTTATTATTTCCTATGTAATATACATATATCGAAGTAATTGGTATTCTTTTGTAGTTCTAAGTTATTATATCTAATACGCCAACATATAAGTAGGTAGGTATTCACTTAGACATGGGCGTATACCTACATTAGTCTATGTATGTGAATCGATTTTATTTAAAAGTAATGAGATACTAGAATAGTGATTTATATTTTAATTCACAGTAGGTATTATTTTGTGATTTAAAGCGAATTATTTAAATGTAATATTTAAGCATATCACATGTTATAGGTACTTATTATATAAAGCGGAAGAGTTTGTTTTTATGTTTGTTCGTTTGAACGCGCTAATCTCCGTAACTACAAGTCTGATTTGAATAATTATTTTTGTGTTGGATAGCGCATTTCTAGAGGATTGGCTATAGGCTATAAAACATCACGCTACGATCAATAGGAGCTGATTAGAGCGTGTGAAACCGCGCTGAAGTAGCTAGTAATTATATAAACTTGAAAGTACTCACGATTTTTTTTTCTTTCTTTTACAGACAGTCAACGGTTGCTGGTGGTACTATTTCTCAAAATTCACAGAATTTTTCGATACGGTAAGTTCATGAAATTGTATTTAAATCTTTCGGAGTTTGACTTTGACCCTTTAGATGCCAGGTTTTCTGTTCTAATAGGAAGCTAAAAAACCCATAATACACTTTGAATTATTTTCACATAAATTTACATTTCATTAAAAATAAAAAATGTGTTTACTGACACAGAAATGATTGGTTATAAATTCCGCACTAAAATTGTCAAGTTTGTGGTAACAGAGATTTATTATGTGGTTTAATAAATCAATATCTATAAGTAGTTTACTGTTTCATTTTAAAATATTCCCATTTGTATATGCTATAAAATAACTAAATGGGATATTATTGTTTTTATTGTGTATTGAAGTTTTTTATTAAGCTTTTTCGCTCATTTGTTCGTCACAAACTTAGCTTTCGGTCAATTATCTTAGTTCGAAAAATTGATACAACATTTAACAGTATCATGTAGATATTAACTAACGTAATCGGAGAAAATTCTTATGATTAAGATTATAAATGAATTAGATATATTAAAATAATGTTTAAGCAAAGTCAGATAGACTTTGCAGAAACATTATTTTAAAATCTATCTCTCTATCCTTTTATCAGACACGAATAAGTGGGTGGCCCTGTCATATGATTGCAAAATTTTTGCACGCTCTAATAATCAGCGTGTACTTTGTCTGAACTCTAAACAGTGGCCTTCTTTCGCTAACTAGCGCCTGAATATTATAATTTCTAGTTATTATGTTATCATTGTCAAGGCTCACACCTACAATATTTACTTCCGTACATTACGAACTAGTTTCTCTCTAGCTCTAATAGTACAGTTTGTTTACTTTCAATCCATGATTAAATATTATCGTCTGAGATGTTTCTCGATGAACGACGCCATATTGCCGTACTTATTGAACTGGGTGCTTACTCTTGAAAGGAATCTCAATGTCAATGCAATTTCAATCCAATAAAATCTCAATAATTATTAAATGTCAAAACAAAACAAACCCTATCGTAAGTTCTAAAAAAGCATTCAGAGTATGGAATATAAAGCCAAACTCAATACCATTTAGTTCATTCAATATTCACGCAATACAGATGCAATAAGCGCTAGTGTTGAGAGTACAAAATTCACAATACCTACCAATGTCGATGGATCGGAGTTCGTATTGTAACGGAATCTCTATACCACATATTTATATATTAAAACAAAAAATACCGATAAATAATGACACTTTATATTCAAATGACTGGACAAACATCTTTACTAGGACCAAGCCTTGTGAAAATCAATTCCGTAATTAATATTCAAGTTCCTCGGGTGATTAACATACGATTTGATATATTTTAGGTCCCCAACCGGATTTGTGTGATCCTGTTTTTTTTATTCAAAATCAGGTTTTGATTTATTTTAGCTTTTATAGAAAAATACTTAGATACCAGAGCGGAAAATCGAGTTTTGTTTATTAATGGTAGGCGGGTGATTCTTTGAAACACAGTTTTGACGAGTTTTTGACCGAAGAACACATCAAAAGAACTTTCGATTTGAATGATAGTTTCAGGTTTTATGTTAAGGGTAAATGTCTATCGAGGCCTGCTGTAGCTAATTAGGATTTATTAAAAAAAACTATAATTAAGTTTGCAGAAAACAGTAAAACCTAATTAGTTTGGCGTTTTGTGTTATTAAAAGGTCTTATGAAGATTAGTTTACTATTTCATGTAAGCATTAAGTATTAATTATTAAGTAAGTATTTTATTATAGCGTTGAAGCTAGTGTGATTTATCAACGACAATTAAAGGTTTAATGAATGTTTCATTTGAACGAAAGTGTTACTGTTTACATAATTATAATTATTATCTTGTGTCAGCCAAAGAGAGTACTTGTTAATTAGTCATAGGAGTTATTATTTCAATATTTGATACAATTTTATAATAAAGTTGATTGGTAAAAATAACGGAATTATCATTAATCTGTATACCTCTAATTAATATGTTGCGAAATCACATTCATCTGCCTATGTCATCATTAATCTGGCTCATCAATTAATCAGCACCTTCTAAATTCTAATCTACATGATGCAATTCGATGCCTTCGATATATGATATTGCACATAAAGCACTTGGTCAAACTATAATATCAATTTAGATCTAAGTGCAAAAAAAATTTGAGCCAGATTAATGAGTCAAAAACCCTCTGTTTCAAAGAATCACCCAGGCTTGTTAGGTATGTAAAGCGTATGTCCTGTTTCAGATTTTATTTCGAATTAAAATATGTAGACATATTTTAGTGAAATCTTTTATTGTTAGATTGGTAGGCAATATAGAGCTAATAAAATTATCATATTCGGTTCCTAGACAAATCATTATCATCATTCATCATCATCGGTTGGTGCGGTGGCTGGGCAACCGGCTGCCGTGCAACGTGTCGCGGGTTCGATTCCTGCACGGAACAACACTTTGTGTGATCCACAAATTGTTGTTTTTTTTTAAATAAAGAAACATAGAATCATTTCAAATTATTTCGACTGTTCAATACCATAAAATAATCACACTTTTATTCATTGATTTTATGACTAACTTAATTTTAGTATTTTGCTAGCAAATTTTTTAACCGACTTCAAAAAAGGAGGAGGTTCTCAATTCGACCGTATATATGCTTTTTAAGTAATAAGTATGCTGTTTGACTCTAAAAAAACGCGACGTCACAGTACATAATCTCGTACAAAATTCATAGATATTATATTTTTATATTATTATAAAGTATTGAATTTGACAAGTGTTCTTAATATCCGAGACTCAAAAATATATTAATATGCTAAAAAGAAATGGTCATATTGTATGTTTATACCTACTCATATTACACATGATCGAATTACCAAAGCGTGAGACGAAATAACATTAAAAAATATGTATAAATAGAAAAACGAACATTGGCACTTACCGCTTGGTATAAAAAATGCGAGTACATAAAGCTTTTTAACGATATTCTATTGTAGTTTTTATCTGTTATTAGCAAAATACATAAAAAAAACGTAAAATCATCGTTAATCACTTATTTTTAAAGATGACTATTCGATTTTGAACACCTGTTCCGTAGTCCATACACAAATATAAAAACACTCCAGTAGTGCCCATTATGTGAATGAAATGTGACACCTCCTCTATTCAAAACTTTTTATATTGCTTTAAAAAGTGATAGATGTTCGCGTATTTAAAGTAGTTTTTCTTTCCAATAAATAATCTTTAGGTAATATTAAAAAGTTTTAAATACATAGGCCTAACGTATGCTAGAGGATTTGTACCTATCTCTTCTTTTGAGCGTAGCGTCTAATGACGTAGACGTAGAACATACGCAACGACTACGCGCATTTGCGTAGCGCCTTCACAAAGTCTTGATCAAACTTGTAGTTTACTCTGTACTCACATAATCGTACTGCGCTTATCGTCCAAGTGGGTCATGATTGACTGCCTCGTTGACCGAGTGGTCGCAAGTGCGACTCGGCAAGGGTTCTCGGGTTCGATTCCCGGGTCGGACAAGTATACTGGGTTTTAAAATATTCTCAGTTGTAGCACGGAGCCTAGAATTTTGCCCGGTATATGGCAATAGGTTCACCCCCTATTACATGGGGCTTATAACATAAAATAGTCAAAAGTGGGTGTTACATAGTACAGTGGCATTAAGTGTCGTACCTCTGCCTACACCTTCGGGGATAAAAAGCGTGATGATATTATGGGTCATGACTGAATTTTGTCTATTATACTAGGGATTAAATTAAACCTTGTTTCTTTTCAGATCTTCTTCGTAATGCGCAAGAAGTTTGACCACGTGTCGAAGCTCCATGTGATCCACCACGGAATTATGCCCATGTCAGTGTGGTTCGGAGTCAAGTTCACACCAGGTCAGTCTATTGAAATCTTATTCAACTAGCTATCGTAATACTGTATACATAATACCATTAGATAACCTTGTCGGTCGATTCGTTAGTGCGACTGTTCATGTGTGGGATTTTGTTTTTGATTCTCGCTTAAGATAAAATGTTATTGAGTTTTTCGTATTCTTAATAAGGGTATGAAGTTTTACAATGTAATTTAAATTAAAATATGCATTTCTAGGTACCCACCTAGTACTTTGGGGCAAACAAATAATTCTTACGTATAATTTATTGCATAATATTATTTACTTGTAACCATTTAAGAATATTGATTCATTACCATCTAAATCATGCATTTAGACAAATTGCAGCAAAATTGCAGTAATAAATAAAAAGCGTATTATGCATTTTAAATAATCACTTTATACGCATACCTACTAAGATTATCAGCTGTTAAAAATGTCAAGGCAATCAACTATGTATTTTAATTGATACGGTCAGTTGGATCGCTGCGTCTTATATATTGCAAAAGCTTTCCGTACAACTCTAATTTTCGAATATTCAGCCTACGTTTTTAAGAATAGTACTGATATGGTCTGAATATAGGAAAAAGAGATCGTAGGCAGAAATTATCTACTATTATATACCGTACTACCTTGTTTAACTTAGGAGGAGTGGCCTAAACAATAATATTAGGCCTTTTTATGCCCAAGGGGGTGGATAGAGGCGCAAATTTGCAATGTAGCATCCACTTTATACCGCTTATGTTGTGGGTCCCATATAGTGAGGATGTGAGCATTATGCCACATACGGGCCTCGATTCTAGACTGTAATTTTTTCTAAAAACTCATTCGATCAACCAGGCAGTCGAGATAAATTACTATTCGCAAAATATCAGAGAAAATTGACAACCAAATCGTTTATTTTTCGTGTACTCTTGTTGTCTGGCCATTCAAAACTTCGTCAGTATATTTTTTTGTTCTATTGTTTCCATTCTGGTATTATTTGTTCGCACCCATAAACAAGTTCTTTGAATGTTGTAAAAACCAAAGATCTACGATTAAAGATGTACACGTAATGATTACAAATACGCTATTATATTTCACTCAATCACTGATATTACAAGAAAAAACGTCAAAGGTTTTTATTGAAGTTTCTTTGTTTAGATGCGAGCTAAAGAAAATTATTGGGAATACCAATTCGGGCGGCAGTTCTTAATAGCTTCAGTAGATCCGTATAATTATAGTTTTATGTATATCATATAATTCCAGAATGGAAATTTTCAACGAGTTTTTTTTAATTCGACTAGACTACTTAGACTAATGTAGGAAATTACGAAGATGTATTTTCCGCAGTATTCATAACATAATAATATGTTATTGTTATATCATCACTATACATAATTTGTCCATTTACATACGTTATACGTAAGTAAAAATAAAATACACTCACACGAGCTTTTAGATTTATGTCACTTTGAAACTCTCTTTCTCTTTGGATCTCACTAGGCAATTTAGCACGAGATTTTAAATGATAGGTAATTAATATAAAACTATGAACAATATTACTTTTTAAGAACATGAATTATGAACCATATTAGAATAATATTAGCTTGATATCGACATAATACCAGTTAGATATTTAATGATAAATTAAGTGTCTGCGGAACGGTTACCCGGGGCTTCGGCTCGAAGAGCAGGCGTAGGAACGGGTTGGTTTTTAATCAGTAAGAGACTCACACACCCTCTCGCCCAACCCAAGGCGGGAGAAGTCATCGGATGGTCCCTCCGCCCCTCAAAAAAGGTGTCTGCCGCACTGTTGAGGGAACATAAATCGGCGTGTCTCCATATAATAATTTTGCATTACATAATATTGTATTATCGTCATACATCACATCACATAATATTTTCCATTGTTATTGAACTGAAAAGTTCAGCAAATATGTTCTTAACTAGCTGCAAATTAACCGCAAACAATCGATGACACAATCTCGGCTAACTATACTCACATATTTATTTATTATCTTATCGGCGTGTCTCCATATAATAATTTTGCATTACATAATATTGTATTATCGTCATACATCACATCACATAATATTTTCCATTGTTATTGAACTGAAAAGTTCAGCAAATATGTTCTTAACTAGCTGCAAATTAACCGCAAACAATCGATGACACAATCTCGGCTAACTATACTCACATATTTATTTATTATCTTAGAATATACTTCATAAATTGTTCAGTAGAGTTTACTAATTAAATAGATAGAATTTATTTTAATTATTTTTACTGTGAATTACGTAACAACTAGAGTCAAGTTAGGTACAAGTTACTATATAGTTAGCTACACTTATTAGTGCGTTTACATATTTTTTCTACGAAGTCCGCAATTCCGTATGATTTGACAACACCAAACATGGATCTTGTATCATTCTCGAACAAAGATTATGTTCGCATAAAAACGCGTTCCATGAAAACAATATTTGCACAGTAATAAATGACAAGAGTACTCGACAAGTAAGCATGTAGTGTTTGTTCGCTCAGCAAATCTGTAGGTGCTCAAGTACGTTCTAGAACTACGGAACTCGATATGTGAACTGTGTCCCATAGTAATTTAGACAAATACCGCTACTAACCGGTCGTGCTGTCGCTGTTTGTCTTCTTCAAACTACATTTATTTGAACTAAACTGGTATATTTTTAACAGTTAACTATTTATAGGTATACCACAGGGTCTAACGGAGTTTGTACTTAAAAACATTATGGTTGATTATTTTGTTGGTTTATCCATAACTTTCTTAATAGACATCAGAAAAAATCCATAAAACGTATACGAATATTGAGTTTTATAGTGATTAACATAAAGTTACATTTTACAGTAATAGTATCCGCTATTTATATGTTAATGCTTTACAAAGTTTATTTTGTTTCGTAGGCGGTCACTCAACTTTCTTCGGAATGCTGAACACCTTCGTACATATTGTGATGTACTCGTACTATCTCCTGGCTGCCCTCGGTCCTAAGGTTCAGAAGTACCTCTGGTGGAAGAAATACTTGACAGCGCTACAGATGGTGGGTTTCTCAATAAAATGTTGAAAAAATCTTTCTGATCCAATGACTTACGGAGTTTCGATTCCTGGGTCGTATGACTCAGTTGAGGTCAAATGATTCAATGTGTGAACATTTCCTTTATAGTTCTAAACTTGAGATGTGATAATATGATTGTCCCCTATTCATAATGTATTGAATAACATTGATGTAATAGATTGACCACATACTCAGTCAGGTAGTCAAAGATAAGTTATACGAACGACCATGGAATATTATTCACGAAGCAAGTTTATTCTATCGCTTTGTTCTAAGGAAGGACGAATCATAAGCTTACCAACTTTCAATTTAAAAATAACAAATATGAGTAAATTATTCAACAGTTTCATAGATAGTGGCAAATAAATTGGAATTTGTAAAGGTATTTATCTTAATCCGAACTTGAGAAATGAAGCAAGAGAGATCCTCCTTGACATTATAATTAGGAACGGCTCGCGTGTAATATTAGATAATACCTAATACATTTTCATTCATAAATTATTATAATACAATTTTGACATGTCGGTGATGGCCGTGTAGCCAGTAGGTAATGATATTACGTTGTGGTTTCAATGTCAACGTTTTGCAATCAGTTAAGTTGGGCGATCGTCTATCCTTGAGCATGGCTCGACACGGACAGGCCATTACGTGACGTCACATGATCCGAACGGGTTCAATGAATAGGACATAAACGTCACCCTTCTCTTCCTGCTAGTGACGTACAGCCTAACAGGCTTATAATTAGTGGTAGGTCTAGGGAAGGCGATGTCCTACTGTCCATACCTAAATGCTTTATTAACTTAATAGTTATTGTAATTCCATGAGCACTTCGGATTTGCATGTGGTAAAACATTCAAATAGACCCCAAATTATTCTCAGACATATTACATGGAATTAGAATGTTCGCCTGTGATGTGATCTTTACATATGTATGACGAAAATTTTTTCTATGTCTGTAGGTTCAGTTCGTGCTGGTGTTCCTGCACGCGTTCCAGCTGTTGTTCATCGACTGCGACTACCCTCGCGCCTTCGTCTGGTGGATCGGAATGCACGCCGTACTCTTCTACTACCTATTCTCAGACTTCTACAAACAGGCCTACCTCAAGAAAGCCAAAGTTAGTAATATTATTCGACATATCTATTACTTTTATGCATTACAGATTAGGTTTAATAGAACTTGTTTCTTGTCTGAACAATAACACTGTAGTCTACAATTTACATAAAGAAACAAAGAACACTTCGCCTCTGTATAAGTAAATGCCAGCTGTTGACGATATTTTCTACAATTATCACGTATCTTATGTTTCATAATGATTTATAGACTTATGCCGTAGACGATAGAATTGATTAACATAATTATCACGTCAACTCTAATGTATGGATCGTTGTTCTTTTGCAGAGAGAAAAAGCCAAAGTAAAGGTTGAAGCAGAGGCCTTGAAGTCAGACACGAAAGACAGGATGCTGCCTCTACTCAACGGCTTCAGTAATGGATCCGCGCTCGGCGACGTCCGGCAAAGGATGGCGGGCGCAGTCGCGTCACAATGATCGCCTCCTTGGTACCCCTAGTATGAAGAATCTCATCGCACCGAGTGAATACACTATGTGTACTCACAAGAATTCCTTTAATTACAAATACTAACCTAACCTTGTTACGGGTGACGCGTCGGCTCTGCCACATAGCCCTAACAAACAAATAGCAGTTGGCACGCGACGTGCTTTATATCGATCATAAATTACATGTCATTATCGATTCTTACTGATACGATGGTGCACGATAGTGTCGTGTCACTAATGGTAATGTTGCATCATCTTGATGGATAAAAGTAATCGATAAACTGGTTAAAGTACAAAATACGAGGGTCGAACATTGGCCGGACACTGCCGCGGTACCCGACGAGACTATAAGCTCAATTAGTTGTAAGTTATTTGTACGAGTATACGTAGCTCAGTAGTGATAGTAGTTGTAATTTATTCAAACCGATTACTGTAAGTCCATAGAATTCTAAACAATAACGATTCTTGACTATTTATTCGGGCACGGATATGGTAGGACTAAGATAGAGCCAGTATTTCCATTTGTAAAGATGTAATTAGGATTTTCTGATAGATATCGATAGAAATGGTTAAGTTTTAGCGCTGTCAAATTTGTTGTCTGAATTTGTATAAAAAATACCGTATGAACGGTTATCTGCATCTTTTTTCTGTTATTTGAAAGAGGTGAGCACCATTTTTTATGAATACTAAAATCAAATAAGGATATATAAAAAATTGTTGACGTATGAAATTACCGTTGCATTTACTCAAAAAGTTAATAATTTAACGACTCATATGCGACTCATAGGTCAATATCTGAAAATTAAGAAATATAGTCTAGAATTTTCTAATCACATACGGAATGTCACAAGTATGTATTTGCCATTATTTATCATATAATATGTTTTTCATAAACATGCGATATGCATTGCATATGTACCTGAATGATTTGACATCGGTAATTTCATACATTAACACTTCATAATATGTAATATCAATTTGTTATGCGATTTGACGAAGTACGTCAAAAATGTTTATGCACATAAGATCGACGGAATCATTTAGTAGATAAATAAACTAGTAGTCAGTCTCAGTAACATTATAATTATTATTATCTCTGCGTAGATTTTGCTACTACAGTGTTGATCAAAGAAATGGAGCCACTAACGGCTTTTTAAAATTACCGAATCGTCTATAACCTAAAAATATATATACCTTTTAAAACAAATTGCTCACATTTTAAAGATAACTACATTGTTTTTTATACGACATTCGTTACCAACTAATGGAATTATGCCCAGTATATGGCAATAGGCTCACCCCCTGTTACAAGGGACTCATAACATAAATAGTGAAAAGAAGGTGTTACATTGTACAGTGGTATGAAGTGCACCTCTGTCTACCCTTTTGGGGATAAGGGGCGTGACGTTATGTATGTTACCAACTATTAAAATTCTTATATCAGTAAATATTTATCAAGAAATGAAAAAGAAAAAACGCTAGTGGCACCATTTCTTTTTAATAAGACTTTTGTGTCAAAATTAAGGTATGTCTTGTAGCTATCTACTTAGATAAAGGTTCTTGAGACTGGCTGTAATATTATTATTTTCCTTGTATTACGCCATTAAGTACTAGGATCGGACTCAGATTCATTTATTGAAAATAATTTCTTAGTAACGATTTTGTTTTGCAAACAATTATTAAGGAATGGGTTCAGTATAACCATTATGACTCTGAGTATGTCGGTTAAAAAGTTGTTGGTGTGACCTGCTAATGACTGAACACATACACTTACAAAGTCATCGCTAGGTTACATCTAATAGGAAAATTATTTAAAGCTTTTTTGTATTCGATGGATGTACTAAAAACAGTTGGTTTCATGTAAACAAAATACATCACATGACAATCGAGATTATTGAAATCATATTGTTTATTTATCTATCTGTTTTATGACGAGTAAATTGATCGTCGTCGTCGATGGTCTAGGGACTTTTAACCTAATGGAAACAAACCCAAACACTAATAATCCAAGGACATAATATCGCCATTGGTGATCGAAACTATTTGTCTTGACCCCTATATTTTTTAGGGAAATTATATCGAATAATTACATCGAAGTAATTTTTTCTATTGAGATTATAAAGATCAATGATACTGTAAATAAATTGTAATGTAATTCGAGTCTATCTTATGTGTGTGTTAATACAAAGTGCCTGTCAAATAATCAAAGTTTTTTAGTACAACAAAGTTAAATTTATTTTTTGGTACAATAAAGCTAAACAAATGTATGTGAAATCCCTACAAAAGTCAAAAAGTTTGATGATTTTTCAGGTTTCAGTTATTGTACCGAATGTTTCCAGGTATCCAAGGCTATTCACATAATTTATGTACATATATAGGTACCTAACATCGACATGCTGTAAATATGTTAAAAGGGTAATCGTACATTTATACTTTGTGATACATAAGTTAATAAAAAAGAATTTAATATTTATTTTGGTTTATTTTTCCTTTTATACAGAAAGGCACCTTTAGGCACCCAGTCCTTAGTACCCAAGTACCTATATAAGTAAGAGCAATCAATAGTAGATGTATGGAATTTGTAAAAAATGTACCAGCGTCTAAAGTCTAGTCTCGTTTTGATTATTTTAAATATACAAAATCTCTTACTAAGCCCTCTGAACTCATTCCGTAATGCCCCTCAATAACGTTTTACTTTTAGTATCTCAAGACATGTAGAGTCTAGACAAGAGCTTGATCATTAAAAGAATAATTCCTTAAAATCTTGATGTGCGTTGAAGTCTTTTGTTAGAATCCTTGATAACTCTCTCATCACCAATCAAAAAGTACTGGATTAAGCTTAGGATTCTTCATAAACCTAGTATAAAAACTTACCTAAAAAAATAATGTGACGTGTTATGCTGACGTCATCATCATCATCATTGCCCATAAGAGCGTCTTAACTTCATAAAAATAATAGGTGCCGTACAATATAGGTAGGCATAACCTGGTATACTAATAACTGGGAAAATATTTAGTTTCTATTCCACTGAAGGAATGAAAAACTAAATACCTATTAATGTAGCAAGGATTTCCGCAAAATAACGCCTGATTCTATTCTACATATAATCTGGTACTATTAAATTAGTCAGTAGATAATTACTAATCTGTTTGTTTAAATGAATTGCAATTTAGTTATAGTGTGCATCTTTGCTCAAGTGAGATGACTAGGCACGAAGTCATCATGGTAGGTATTCAATCACCACTTAAGACAAATTATTATTACTTTGACAAATTATTATCACTTTGTTTCTTTTCGATATTATTATATCCTAGAAGGTAACTTAGACGTTTAATTAATAAATACTTAAAATATTATATAGCAATATTTTTTTCTTTTTTTGACGGGGGATCATCCAATTCTGTTACTTCTCCCGCCCGGGTATGGCGAGAGGGAGTATCAGACTCTGACTGACTAAAATAGATATATGGCCTAGTATGTGGTAATGATCATAAAAGCTTACTAAAATATTTATTTTAGTCAACATTTTGTTTATGTCTGCACACTGTGCTGGGCTTTTTGCATTCCGCATTTAACAAAATTTAAAGAAATATCTAAGAAAACGAAGTCCATAATAAAATACAAAATCAAAAGCATTTATTTGCAAAAAACAAATTACATTTTTAGGTATATGGGAAAAAATTTGACAGATTCAATTCCTTTTTTGTTTACCATTATAAATCGACTAAAGGATGTGTGTGAATCATTTAACGGATTTTCCCCCATTAAATTCGTGATTTGTTCCTCGTAAAAAACATTAGCATGGCACAATTCCCACCACTTCCCAGTAACTATTAAAATCTGACAGTCGGTACCCGGTTCGTGCCATAAAGGTGTAATTTTCGGATAATTATTCATGCTACACATGTCTTATATGTCACTCAAACATGCACAGAGCACACGGTGAAATTGTCTGACTTGGTCACAAGTTAGTGAGGATTTTTGGGTAATTGAATAGTTGTAATGGTACCGTAGTTATAATATTTATTTAAATAACATATTAATTAATAGGTATTACAGATGACTTAGTTTTAGAATAAAATCTATTCAATCTTTCGCGCGGTACATGCTACTAGCGACATCTGTTGATGAACAGGTGAAGCTTGATAAAGGGAGTTTTTCGATTATCATAATTATTGTTTTAATTTCTATGAAATAGGTTAAAATGCAGATGATAATTTTTGTAAGAAACTATTATAAAATTACTGTCAAATTAAATAACCTCGTTGGATTAATAAATAATTAAAAACCATGTACCATATTTCTATTCAGTTTAGCTATTCGACAATAGATGGCATTGTTCACTATATCAAACATAGGGATGATGAGTGATGACAGTGTATGATAATTAAAAATGTAATTAGTCCTTCAGTTAGGTAATGAAAAAATATTAGACACATATTTTTTATTTTGTCGTATAAGAAAACAATACTTAGATAAAACGAATCAAAGTTTAAGAGTGGGCGGTTGTTCTTGTTGAGGTTAGGTATGTGATATTTTAAATCAATAAATCTTAGAAACCATTCGTTTCCATAAGAAAATAAAAAATACGTGTCTAATGTTTTTAAATAATCTACCAGACGGACATTAGAATAAAAATTAGTCATCTACCCTATTATTTATTTCTAACCACTAGAACGTTTTAATTTTGTTTTATTTTTTTTTCTTTATAAGAGCTAAACAGCTTTTTTGACACTCACATTTCATATCGCAACAACAGTTTGTGTATGCGGGAATCGAACCCAGTCAGTTTATTTACATTTTCGTAATTAATCTTCATTTTAATTTTATGGAAAATTTTTAGAACTCGTTATCTACCTCGTGACAAAAGTTATTCATAATATCTATTAGGTAGGTAGGTTCCCTTTGCCAGTGAAGTTATAGTTTACAAACCGTGGTACTTATACAGAAACAGATTTTTAGTACCTAATCGGAATTATTGATCCTATCTTCAGTCAAGAAATTAACTTTCATTAGACACTTATGTATTTTAAATATTTTCACAGTTTTCACTTTAAACACTGTCATAAATAGTTGTTGTTCCTATGTAATACGACTTAACACCGGCATGCAGATAGTTATCACCGTCACAGAGTCACAGCATAGTGTTGAAAGCGTTCTTTTGTTTGCCTGCATATGTGCAGTTCTCGGCTAAACGTCTAAATTGTTCACTGGTTCTCACGTGCTTTGAGAAGTGACACAAATTGCACAAGCCATTGTTTATTAAGAAAACTTTATTTACAATGAAATATTTTACAATCTATCGTCATAACTTACTTTCTATTGTACATAGATAAAACGTAAATCTACATATATCGGTAAACACCAATGTCAACAAGAGAGTACACCTTCTTCTTGCGTAAATTCGAGATTGTTGTTAATTCTTACATGGTAACAAACGACTTATACCAATAGAAACATCAATAATAATATCACAAATAATTTAGGGTAACTACGGGTAAGCCTCTTTAGACAAAGATGAAACTGTTTACATTCAATCTTGAAACTCGTGATTCCACTAACAATTTATTTACAATAGTTGTTGTACTTTGATGATCATTAATTAGTTAAATAAAATAAGAAATACACATTGCTTTTCATACATTTACGAATTAGCAGTCTTAAAACTATATCCCTGCATATAAACAAGACAAAATAAATTCTCATTGCTAATGAAATAGTCCAACAATACCTACATTCCAAAGGCAACTGGTTAAATAGTTACTGTTCTAAAGAGGCGACTAATTTAATGGCAGTGATGTAATGTAACACAGTAATAATTACGCTCTTGTTTTAGTTTTACCAAATTCTTCTATATGCTCGTACTCGGTGAATCCTGGGTCGGAGTCATAATACGCGTAGTCATAACTGTTATCTTCTTTATCATGTGCAGGTTTCGCGAAATGTGGTGCACGAGTGGTGGGCCGTGGTGCCGGAGTAGATGGCGGCGAGGGCGGCACGGGCACCCGGCTCGGTGGACGAGGTGGCCTCGTCTCTGGTGCTCTTGGAGCTACAGTGGTCGTGGGCCCGGCAGGTGCATCATTAGCTGGGAAGTTCTGGTTCAGTGCTTGATAGTCAGTGGGCCTCGACGTCGTGGTGTACGTTTGGAAATAATCGAAAGTGCGCTGCGTGTTTATCGTCTGCGGCTGAGGTGTTGTCGTATAAATTGGTTCCGGTGCTCTCGTAGTGGGAGGTGCAGTCGGTGTAGGTGCAGGCCTGAATGGCCTTGGGGCTGCAGTTTGAGCTGAAGGTTTCGGTGGAGGTTGTGTCTTTGCATACTTTTTGCGTTCTTCTGGAAGTCT